AAATTTAAATATTAAAAAAATTAGTAAAAATCTTCACAGGCAAATTTGCCTGTGTTACAATTTAAGGGATAATATTTTCAGGATCCATAATATCTTCAGGATCTATAATATTTTTAGGTTCTATAATATCTTCAGAATTCATAACTTAAAATAATTTATAATAGGCAAAAGTCTTTAAGTAAATATAGCTATATAGTCATTAAACTATATAAAAGAAAAAATATAGATATTTGATATTTGATTTTGTTGGAGAATATGTATTTTGTTGTTTGAATTGTTAAAGAGTAAATATTTGATTGAATTTAGATTTTTAATATTAAAAACTGTCCCTTCTTTTATACATTTTTATTAACCATTTCTGTTAACTATTTTACTACTAACTTCGTCTTAAAACCATTACTCCTTGATATTTATTCTCCTTAATTTTAGTTTACTTCAAATTTCATACTAATATGAATTATTTGATTCAAAGCATAAATTCAGTTTACTTTAGATTTTATGCTAATATAGATTATTCGATTCAGAGTATAATTTCAGTTTATTTCAGGTTTTATACTAATATAAATTATTTGATTCAGAGTATAATCAAAGTATAGGTGAAGAAACAAAGTTATGTTTACCAGAGTTATGTTTACCAGAGTTTTGAGTTAACTCTACCAAAATTATATTTACGAGTTAAACATTAAAAGTCAATTAAATTCTATTAAATTTACGGTTACCAGAATTACTAATTAATTCCATCTACATTATGTTTACCAGGTTACAAATTAATTGTATCTAATATTTTACCAAAATTATGTTTACCAGAGTTATGAATCAATTCTACCAAAATTATGCTTAAGGTACCAGAGTTATCTGTTAGATTCTACCAAATTTATGTTTACCAGAGTTACGAGCTAATTCTACTAACATTATATTTACCAGAATTACAAGCTAATTCTACCACATTTAAATTATATTTACAAGTTAAACGTTAACAGTAATTAAATTCTACCAAATTTACAGTTATCAGAATTACTAATTAATTTACCTACATTATATTTAGATTTATATCTAATATTTACCAAAATTATGTTTACCAGAGTTACAAATCAACTCTACCAAAATTAAGAGTTATGAATTAGAACAAAGTTACAATTTAATTCTACTATCATTATTTTTACCAAAACTGCGAATTAATTATACCAAAATTATGCTTAAGATATCAGAGTTTTTTGAATATAAGCCAAAATCTGTACCTTGGGGATTTGGCCCTAATGATAATTAAATACCTAAAAGTTATGAATAACCTTTTCTTTTTACAAATCTCAGAACGACTACGTATAATTTACAACGATATTATCAAATATGGTAATTTTTTTTCTTAATTCGGAAGTGAAGAAAGAGTTAATTGCAAAATTTTTCACTTATCAGGTAGTTTTTTGGTACATGGAGAAATTCTCTCTTTTCATTCGTTGGTTTTTTTTTAATGTCTTCATTTTCACACTAGTTTTTATTTTATTGTATTATTTTTTATATAAATTTATAGCTTTTCTTTCATTTTTAAGATTAAAATTGAAGCTAATGATGTTGTTCCGTCACTTTTGAATTTTAGGCCAGAAAAATTCAAATTACCGCCTTTAGACACGTATTTGACTTGCTAATTTAGCTTAAAATGGTCATTATCTAATGAATTTTTTTTAAAAAAAACAATTAAAGAGTATTTAGTGATTATAAATTTTATGATAATTAATAATAATTTTAAAAGTGGAATAGAAATATTCGGGTACTGATTTTTTTTCAATATTCTCTTTATTTTGGACAGCTTTTCGTGAAGATAAAAGCATCGAGAGATTATTGAATGAGCCTTAAATATTTGATAGTTCGGTATTTTACCGACTTAATTAGTACATTATAATCTTAACCATACATTGGTGTTAGTTGATATTTTGGTTTATATTATTGATATGCAAGGTAATTTTTATAGCATATCATATATTTGTAATATAATTCAATATTGTCGACCCAGCTGTATTCATCTAAACTTTTTCATATTGTAATTATCGAACTAGTTTATTTTCTAACGGCCATCGGAGAATAAACTAATTGTTTCATTGGTTTTTGACCAAATAGTGATATTCAATTTTTCATAAGAATTTCCATTAATTTATTGCATGCCAAATATTTAATGTCTAAAAATTTTCTAAACCAACGGAAGAATTTATAAAGGCCATTGAAAATGCACTGAAACAAGAAACAGCTGAAAAAAAAGTTGGGTGCAATTAAAGAAATATTAGAAGAATTTGAATTTATCTGTAAGTATGCTTTAAATATATATATATATTTTTATGCTGATAAAAAGATAATTACTAATAAAAAGTAATCATTTTCAGTTCCTAAGTACATAGAATTTGGAGGTAAAATTCAAAATAGAGTTGAATTACACAACAAAATATTTACTGGCTTCAAGGAAAATAAATTTGGCACAAGTATTCAAAACTTCTCATCATCATATAACGTTAAAAAAAGCACTTTGTGTTTAACAGATTATGCTAGTGATAGTTATATAATAGTTGGTAGTGATAAGGAAATTGCACCAGACATCGATAATAATAGTGAAAGCCAAAAGAAGTAGTTAAAAACATTATGTCATTGTAACAAATAGCAACCTATTAATTACTCAGAGATCATAACAGTATATAAATTATTGGATAATAAACTACAAGCGCAATTGCTTGAATTGCTTGGGCATGTGGTGCTTCATTCTGGTACAAATGAAGTAGAATTTGATAACAAAAACATCATAGAGTCCAAAAAATTACAGTTAGATATTCTAGAAAATATCCTAGATAACATGGAAACTAACCATATATATGCAACTGTTTATAATACTAAATGTATTCATGAAATTTTTTCTGTTCATGTAGTATACTACCCTAACAAAAGCTCCAGTTTAATATTAAATTGTGTCAAAACAAAGAAAGAAAAAAAATTATTGTCGAAAAAAGATTTTAAACATATAAAAGTTTCTTGGATCATTGTTGGATCTCGCATTAATTTCAAGTTTAAATCTCTGTTAACATTTGTGCTAAATAGTTACACTTTAAAAAATCCACTGCAAAGGTTTTATGACAAAACTATATCGAAAAGAAAGTAGAACGAGATCTTTCTAAAGAAATTAAATGCCTCGATTTTAGTATGTGCTGTCTTGGAATTTGTGCATTTAGATGTCAAGACACGGACGATATTAAATTCGTAATTATTGCCGGACTTCACTTTTGTTGTGTTGATGGACAGAAATGGGAACCATATACTTATATATTTGATATAGTAAGTGTGGCTTTATTTTATTTGTCAAAAAGAATATTTTTATTTAAACTTGAAAATAATAAAATATTTATTATTCAAGGATGAGGGAAAACAGATACATTATCTAAAAAAATCATTAGAAGTTCACTTGAGCATTATCAATGCTAAACAAGAACGTAATGATCATTCAACATATAAAGGTGAAAAATGAGATAAATGTTCTATGGAAGAAAACATATTTTTAAGCCCTTTATATAAAAAATATCATTTAGACTGTTCTCCTGTGTTCGTAAATGTTAACATCAAATATCCTATGATGCGTTTATTCAAAAAATCAAATATAGATAATAATTCAAAAAAAAATTTTTTGAATACTGTGAAAGCAAATTTAATAGAAAACCAGAAATAGAAAGTTATTTATCTTATATCAAAATGTAGTTTCTTGATTAATAATGAAGATAAATAAATTTTCAATATAGTAATTTAATGATTAATATAAAATATAAAAATATTCTATTAGAACTGGTTACATTGTCAAACCAATAAAAGCAACTAAAAAAACTTATAGCAAAAACTTAAAACTTGCTAAGAAAACCTCCAAGCAAAAGTGCTCAACTTATTGAAAAGTATTTTATGTCTCAGTAACGATGACAAATATTTTAAAATGCATCATAAAATTCATAAATATTTTCAGGTTTACTAAAATGCACTATATAGGTACATTTAAGAATGATTTAGTTTTGAGAGATTCGTTATTTTTGTTTTATTTTTTTTTTAGTGCGAAATTTTCTTTGTGCAAAGGTTATTTATTACATAATAGAAAAGAACTTTCAGATCAAAGTTGGAATATGTTAACGATAAATGTAGCTCGGAATATTAGATTCTCTTTAATCGCAATATTGAACCTAGCTGCCACACAAAAAATGCGCAGAATCTTGGCCTGCGTTAAAGTAATTAGGTGGCCATAAATTAATTATTTTTTTTATTAATAGAATTTTGCGTAATTTTGATGGACAGGTGTTTGTGATATGTAAAAATAGCTTATACCAGATGCCTTCTAATTATGAAAGTAAAATTTCCTCTCACAGGAGTTTATAATAAACTCTTACCGCTTTTTAATTTACATAGCAAAGGATGCCAAGAATATTACAGCTATTAGAAAATATTCTAAAGATGGATAGTAATTGTAATTTTACAAAATTATTAAGTTTTCAAATTATTTATATTTAAAGTTTAATAGAAATTTATTTTTACTATAAACCATTTAAAACTAGAGAAATTAATGTTAAAAATATTGAAATCAATACGTAAGATATAAAAGCCTCAATTGATGTGTGTGCACAACTCGTAATCTTCGAAAAATTAAATAAACTTCTCACCCCCCATGTTATAGATCTACATTGAGTTTTTTACTCTAGGATTTTTAATTACTAAATTGTAAATGAAAGTGCATGTTTATTTTCTTTTTAAATAATTCCTTATTATTTTTTATGAGATATAAGGCTTATTTTGGGAATAAATATAAGATATATCGGTGCAAAATTCAAAAAAAAATAAAAATAAAATTGAATATTTTGAAATTTTCTTACCAGCAATGAAGCATTCCAATAACTCCATTACTTTTTTTTCTAAAAAAGACGGATTGAAATTAAAGTTTTTAGTTTGGTTAGAAATAAAATAAAGATTGACTGCCAAAGGGTGAGGTGAGATAATTATATCACTAAGTGATTGTTTAGTCGTTATGCATCTAAAGTTACGCTGCCACCAGGATGATATGATAGGCAGAGAATCAGAAGCACATCATGGCCACAGGGGATGTTACAAGAGCCAAGTAATAATTACTTGTGAACGTCCTTCTCTGTTTTATCTGTTATCCGAAAAGCTGCACTTGAGTCTGTGGTGAATAGGATGCATAGATATATGATTATATTAGCTCCAGAGCATTTTCGTTGACGATAATAATGACAAATTATTTACAGTTTTTTTTTTTTTATAGATTATCAAGAGATGACGGTGGCATAGATATGTTTGGCAATCATAATCATTACTTATTATTGTTTCAATGCAAAGATCTTACTAACAAAGTCAAAGTTGATTATATCCGAGATTTTTAAAGTGTTATATCAAGGTTCGATAAGCAAACAACAATTGGAATTTATGTTACATCAGCAAAGGATAGTTATTCGAGCGGTGCTATGGGAAGAGCCAAATCATCAGAATACTATTTCTTATTGACCAACATACATGATCTGTGTCAGGACATTCCCGAATACTTGTCTAAAGTATTAAAAGATAATTCTGTCAGGAAAAAAATTTATAGGATAGAAGAAAAGATAGATGAGATAATTGAGATACTTGAATGTCAGGAGAAGTTTATACATAAAATTAAAAATGATCAAATCAAAATTGAAAATAAGCAAATTAAGGTAGAAAGAAATCAAATTAGAATAGAGTGTAAACAAGAAAAAATCATTTTTTATAATTATATGTTATTAATTATTGTAGTTTCTGTATTAGTTAAATATGATTTCTTCTATAGCGATAGTAAATCATAGAAAATAATAACACTCATTTTACAAGTATAAGTCTAACTAATGATAGTTTTTTTTTTTATTACTCCATTTGGCTATTAATATTTTGAAAGCGAGCTTAAAGCTCATCAGATATTTAAATGCAAGTTGATTGATTGTTGCTCGACAAGATCTGTTATCTTTTAAAATTTTTAAAAATTTAAAATCTTTAGATAAAATAAAATGTTTTATGAAAATTATTTTGCAGGTTTTACAGTTGAAGGGTGTAAATTTTATATTCATATCTATTTTCTTTTTCAATATCTGTGTTCATTACTGGCAGATTTGGTTAAAAAAATGCTGCACAAAAATTTAATTGGACTCGATAAATACAGTATGCATTTATTTATGTTAATTGATATTCGTGATCACTAATATTGATCTTTGTAGATATTACCTATGAAGAATGTATGATGCTTGTTGATTTCTACATAGAAGGGCGGCACCCGGAGTGGATGAATTTTAGAACTTTTCAAATTTTTCTACCTTCCTTCCCTGCTTCTAGAATGGCGAGAACAACAATGACAATGAGAGCAACGACAACGAGAGCAACAACAACAGCAACAACAACAGCAGCAGCACCACCAACAACACCACCAACAACAACAACAACAACAACAACAACAATTAGAACAGTACAAAAAAGAATAAACAAATTTAAGATCTGAAAAAGACGAGATAGTAAAAAAACAAAAAAACATAGACAACATGCTTCGAAAACCATATTCTGATTCTTCAGAATTTATATCATTGTACAAAGCTAGAAATGGTTATTTAACAAATAAACGAATATAATAAATAAGCGAATGAAGATTGTAGACGATCGTATAAAAGCTATAAACGAAAAATATGAAATGATATTGAACAATTTACAAATGTATCAGATCTTTGATTTGTTAGAAAAACATGAATCAGAATGTAATATATGTTTTGAAGTAGGAACTACTTTTAAATGTTTAAAATGTGCTTTTCATTCTCATTCTGATTGTTAGATGAGTTGGTACGATGTTACGTGTTACAATGTCCGGGTTGTAGATTAGTTTTGTAAATTTTTTATTTGTAAATATTAAATAAGTTATTTTAATTAGTATTCGATATATAACCTGTGCATTTTGCTTATATTATTGATGTATATGGAGTTTAGTGTATATTTTAGTATTTAAATTTTTTTTTAAAATAAGAATAAAGCAAGTTGATATTTGTTATAATTATGTGTCACATAAATGTTGTTTTATAATGAATAATATCCCATTAAAAATTTCAACGAAATTAAAATGTCCTCAGAGTGGTAAGTGGAAAATTTAAGATTGAAGAATGAACTCGAAATGTGTATGATATGGTAAAAAATCTCTGGTTGCATGTTAGGATATGTTATATAAATTACAATATAATTTCGAAATCAGAATCAAATTTTTTTTATTGAATTTAATTATTTGTTGTTGAGTTATTCTTGTTTAATGCTTTAAAAAATTTACTTAGAAAAAATATGCGTTTTTACTGACTCACCCCCATATAGTATACTCGAAGTTCTAAGTTTTAGTATTTAAAACTTATAACTAGTACTAGCAGTATAAAGTAAAAATATTCTCTAATTCATCATTATCCAACCACCAATCATTCCAAATCTGTTCTTTAGAATTTGGACATCATTGTCCCTTAAAATGACTTTTAATCCAATTTTTTGTTGAACAAATTAAACATTCAATTTTTTCCATATTCCATTCTTCATTTAATTTCGATCATTCATTCATAGTACTTAACTTTTCCGATGGTTTATACCTACAGTCTCGCGAATTATTATTAGCTCGATTCTTATATTGTTTATCGTCTTCACCAACTTCGTCGCAGTATTTACACCAATAGTAACGTTCATACTTGACATCTTCCTATCTCCATCCAACAATAGCACCACAATAACAGTACGATTTAAACACAAAAAATTTCACAATAATCAGATACTTCGAACCAAATACGAGTATTTTCAGAAGAACATTTACATTTCTTATTATCCATGTTGCACCAAGAATACCAATTTTTTTCAGATATATACATCGGTCAGTTATCTACAATTAAATATCATGAATTTAAACGAAGATTTCTTGATAGCCAATATCAGAATTTGATGAATTTTTATTTAATTCTATGAACCACAGAATTAAATAAAAAAAATTCATAAAATTCAGATAGCTGGTTGTCTAGAAATCTTTGTTTAAAGTTCAAAGAAAGCCACTTTTAGTTTTTTGTTTTTTCTAATATATGAAAGGCGTATTATAGAATTAAACTAAAAAAAATTCTCTAAAATTAGTTATTAGTTCTAAAAACCTCTAAATTTTTAAAAAAATTTCATGATTTTGACCATATTCTGACCGGAATTTTGGGGAGGAACCGCAAAATCATGCGATATTACTTATTAGTATTAATTTTAATGTAAAATTAGATCTTATTGATACTAAAATGTTTTTTTTTATGAATACTGAGATTCTACAAGTGCGGCATAGCTAATTTTTATTATTTCTCATTTTAATATAATTCTAGTAGTAATAATTATATACCATATAACTACGAAATAACTCGCGCGTTATTTCGTACATTTCTTCATTTAATCAGATTATTTTATTATGCTTCAGCATCAAGTGGGTCAAGTATTCTGGCTATAACTTATATTCAACCTCAGGAACCTCAGAATTTAATAATATATCCCTATGAGAAAAGTGGTCCGGGTTGTGGCATGGGTTGGTTTTGGGAATATACGATGTGTGGCACATAGAGGCTCATTTTACGTGATGGCACGGACATTACGGAAAAGTGGTTGTATTGGATGATACGTATATGCACGTGTCTCAAGAGCGTGAATGATTTTTTATGAAAAAAAATGCAATATCTCAAAATTTTACCGATTAAATTGTTCTGGGTATCTTAACGAAAAATATTCCTTGCAAAATTTTACACTTATACAATTACTTTAATTTTCAAATACATATTATATTGATGATAATTGAAGTAAATTATGTTTCAATATGTATATTTGTTATTATAGTACGTGAAATTACGTACGTCTGTACCAATTGGACTAGTAAAGTGTTACAAAACCCGAGTCATTAACAGTCCAATTGGCACTGGTATACGGACCAACACGGGCCAAAAATCCATGCCACTTCAAGCCTCTTACGTACAAAATCCAGGTTTGATCCGTGCCACCGAAACCCGTGCCATTCCGAGCCAACCTATACAATTACAGTACATTTTCTTATACAGTTATAGGGTATATGCAACATTTATTTAACTATTCAGACCGGTTCAATATATTCGTTATCGTTGCAATTTAAATAATTCATATTTAAATTGAAAAAATCCAATTTCCTGTATTGTTCAGGCATTGAAAATTTTTTAATTATATTGTGACAATTAAAAGCTTGCTATTTTAAATATCATGTATTCTATATACCTTGTCACTGTATTAAAATAACTATACATATTATACATATTCAGATCGGTTCAATCTATTTGTTATCGTTGTAATTTAAATAATTAATATTTAAATTAAAAAAAATCCAATTTACTGTATTTGCAATAGCGTTGAAAAAAATTTAATTACACATAACTTATTGTAACAATTAAATGATCGTTATTTTGAATATCGTTATATTTTATATAAATCTATCATCCTTTGAACTTTTGTCACACGTGACAAAGTTCGAAGTTACTTTTTTGATTTTAATAAGTCTGTTGCATCAAAAACGCAACTTATGTACTTTGTATGGAAATTAGATAATCGATATCGATAACACATATTTAGACGATTACAGGTCTGTCATTTCTTCCTTTGCATACTTTGTTGAGATGATGAAAATTTTTACAAGTTGCTATACAGTAGAATGCAGGATACAAATTTTTTTTTATAAATAAACCATGAGTCTTACAGTTTATCGAACCACCTTTCTTATCTCAAATAGTTCATGGTCATGAG